CACACACACACACACACACACACACACACACACACACACACACACACACACTTTTTAATGACCCTCATATATATACACATCACTTTCCTTTTCTCTTAAGAGTGAGGGGGAGAGAGAGAGAATGCATAAGTGTGTACGTTTGTGTGTGTGTTTGTGTATATGAGTTTGTATGTGTGTCTGTGTGTGTGTATGTGTGTGTATGTGTTTGTCTGTGTGTGTGTGTATGTGTGCATGTAATTTATTCTGTCCACAGCTTTTCGTCTCTCCCACGCTTGAACCTAATCACTGAAGTATGCACGCGCGTAATACAGAAGAAAAAAAAAAGAGTAACATTTTAAATAAGTCACCAACAGTGAAAAATGCAAACAGCACAGAAAATGCCAGAAACCAACTTGCTAAACGTACATAATATTATTATTTTCTTGAATTCAAATGATGTTTTATTTACAGTATTTACCATGATTTGCTGACCGGTGTTTGGCGTGGCCCAGTCAGTCAAAGTGGGAATACCCCAGCCAATCTCGCCCGGGATGCAGCTGCGAGGGCGGGGCATGGGCGTGCCAGGAGCGGGGCGAAACACGTAAGCTACATCCCCGCTATGCTCCGTGGACTGGTCACCCACGCCCACCTGGTGAGGATCGGTTATCATGTGGGGTCTGTAGTCTCTGAGACCGTCAGGACCTGTTTGAAATGTAAAAAAAAAAGCAAAAAACTAGCCCATTGTGGTGTAATAGTTAGCTGTGCTTGGTAGACCTACTTTATCAAAGACAAGTGCAGTCTAGCACGCACGTACATTTAGTAAACACGCACATAACTAAACACGCACACAGCGAACACATTTTGAGATCCCGATTTTTTTCTTGATATGTATTATGATCATGTATTCTCTGTGTTTGAAATACGCGCGTAACGAAATTAGTATACAACGAAATTCCTTCATAACAACCAGATTCTCTCTTCCCGCCAACTTTCTCTATTTATGTTCTAGATCACAATTATATTAAAAACCAAATCTCAGAAGAAGTTTTACTCTTCGAGCAACCCAAATTAAATTATTTAGAAGGCGGGCTGCTTCGACCCTGCCTGTCAAGTTCCAAACGGAATAGAGTTATAGGCCTACAGCATCCCAGCAAAAAGACAGACATAGGATAGGGCCTACATGCACTCTATAAAAATAAAGGAATCTTCAATAAGTTATAAGTCTTCTGTGTTCCGAACTAAGAACTCCATGACTGCATCGTAGACACCAATTTAAAAAAACCACGATTGAGATGTCTTAACATTAAAAGTTAACAGACATGGATAAAAAAAAACCCAACTTGCAGTCACTTACAG